CTTGCTAATCCAATCATTCCTGCACAATTATTCTGACACTTCGTCCTTGACGAAGAAGTATCGCAGCGCAATGTGTTTGGTGCGGTTGACGAACCCAGGTTTCTTCGCGATCCTGATCGCGCTCTGGTTATCGCAGTGCAGGCAAAAGGTGGGCGAAGATGGAATTTTCTCGTCATGTAGGAGCTCATGTAGGTAAAGCCCCTCGCGAACTGCTGTTGTTGCGGCGATGAACCCTGCTTCCGATGATGACAACCAGTTCCTGCTTCTGCGGGTTCCAGGAGATGGGCCCGTTAGGTTCGAGTAGGAACAGGAACACAGTTCTGGACCGTCGATTGTTCGGGTCAGCGGCGTGATCGGGGTCCACATAGCCGGTGAGGTTGAAGGATGATGTGGTAACTGCTGAGTAGCAGAGCCCAATGTTGGGCGTGGATATGAAGAACTGTAGGGCCCGCTGAAGATCTAGGAGATTCTCAGCCGTTGGTTTGCGGGAGTACTGAGCCAGTTGACTCGCGATGTACGAGAGATCGGGCCTGCAGGTGACAGAGGCGAAGAGTAGGCATCCCAGCTGCTGCTGGTAAGTCTGGAGTCCAGCGGGGGACAGGACTTTGTTGTCAGGCTTGTGGTTTGGTCCTGGAGTGCGGTAAGGGGTGGAGAGCGGTGCAGGCGCGATGTTGAAGCGTTTGCCAAGTTCTTCTGCGTACTTGGCTGCTGAGAGGTGAATGGCTTTTGGTGAGTAGGAGATGTTCAGCCCAAGGAACTGCTTCACGTCATGGTTGCAGGTGATGTCAACGCGCCCCGCGAGATTCTTCTCGAAATGCTCAAGTAGTTCGTTGCTTGATCATGTGTAGAGGAGGTCGTCGACATAGACCGTGAGCAGGATGTATTCGCCGCGGAAGTCTCGGCGGTACATCTCTGGATCGTGAGGCAGCTGCTTGAAGTCTATCTCAAGCAGGATGTTGTGCAGGTACTGCTGCCAGAGCCTTGGCGCCTATTTGATCCCGTAAAGGGACTTTCGTAGCTGGCGCACGCGTGAGTCCCCTTCGCCGTATGTGTGCGGCTGCTCCACGTAGATCCCCGCGTCCACTAGAGCGTAAAGGAACGCGTTCTTCACGTCGATTTTTCGGAGCGGTAGGTGTCGTGCGGCAGCGATGGCGAGCAGAATTCTGACGGAGGTGTGACGGCTGACTGGCGCAAACGTTTGGTCAAAGTCGATGCCGTGCCTCTGATCGTACCCGCGCACGACCCATCACGCCTTAAATCGTTCGACCGTGCTGTCCGTTGCGGTCTTCACGCGGAAGAACCACTTGCCGGAGAGGATCCCCCAGCGCGCGCGGCTTGCAAATTTGCCGATGGTTGATGTCGGCGGGCGTTACTGTACCATGCATCCCCACAAGCGGAGCATGGATGTGTCGCCCTTCGTGCCCGTCCACTTCAGACGCGGGGACAGGTTTTCGGTGATAGCGGTGGTTGACAGCAGATTATGCACCCGCACGGCGTGATGCATCGCGTGTGTCTAGTACGTTGGGGGAAGCTTGGACTGCTTCAGCAGTGCTCACACCTTCGTCATGAGCGTGCGGTTTGTGCGCTCGGCAACGCCCTGCTGCTGGTGTATTTCCTTGCTGTGAAACTCCGCCGCGCCGTCCGACTGCCGTATCTTTAGTTTCTCTCCAGACTGCCGATGCGCGTGCGCCAGCCAAAGGCGGAAGGCCTTGTAAGCTCTGTTGCGGGCCTCGAGGTCCACAACCCATACGTAGCGGGTTCCCGCATCGACGAAGGTGAGCGTGTACTGCTCGTCGTTGGTTCCGCAGTAGCCTACGACGAGGAAGTCGCTATACACCTTTTGCAGTTTGGCGTAGCGGTTGGTTCCATGTTCTAGCAAGGGGAACAGTTGATGACTCAGCGCGGCTTCGGGTTGCGAGGTGCTCCTCACTTCGGTGCCATCAGGGCGCAGGAGTGCACCAGGCACGAACACGCCAGCCTCGATGCAATTCTTCAATGTCACGCGCGAGGGGTGACCGAGGCGCTGGTGCCAAAGGTCATCGTTGGCACGGAGTCCAGAGGTGCGCATGTAGCGCGCGCGCACTGCTTCGGGGTCTTCGTCAGGTACTGAGGCAGGTTCCGCTGTTGCTTCTTCAGCTTCTTCTTCTTCGTTTTCCGTCGTCAGCATCAGCGCCAGAAATTCTCTGTCGAGAATCATGGAGAAGGAGATGTTGGTACCGGGGATCGTTCCGGGGACAAAGGTTGGCTCGCGCGGCTCGGGTCAGGTCCTTAGACTATGCGACGGGGAGTTGTGGGCTCATTCCCCCAATCGATGGTGTCCCAAGGGTCGCGGTGTGGTTGGACGTCAGGCGGAGGCAGCGCAGGTGCGGGTAGGTGCGGGGGACGACCGAGGGGAACAACAGGAGGTTCTGTCACTGTGTTTTCTCTCCCCTTTTGTTCTTCGTGGGAAGTTCCCCATCCTCCGCCGGAGGTACCCCATCCGCTTGATCCGCCGCCAGATGCGGTGCCCCATCCGCCGCCCGCATGTGTGTGCGCGTGCGTGCGTGCGTGTGTGTGTGTGTGTGTGTGTGTGTGTGTGTGTATGTGTGTGTGTGTGCGCGTGTGCGTGTGTGCGTGCGTGTGTGCGTGCGTGTGTGCGTGTGTGTGTGCGTGTGTGTGTGCTTGTGTGGGTGCGTGTGTGCGTGCGTGTGTGGGTGCGTGCGTGGGTGCGTGCGTGCGTGGGTGCGTGTGTGTGTGTGTGTGTGTACGCGTGCGTGCGTGCATGCGTGTGTGCGTGTGTGTGTGTGTGTTTGTGTGTGTGTGTGTGTGTCTGTATGTATGTGTATGTGTGTGTGTATGTGTGTGTGTGTGCGTGTGTGTGTGCGTGCGTGCATGCGTGCGTAATTGCGTACATAAGTGCGTGCGTGCGTGCGGACATGCGCGCGCGCACGCGCGCGCGTGTGTGTGTGTGTGTGTGTGTGTGTATGTGTGTGTGTGTGGACAGCAACGAACATCAATGCTTCAAGCACACAACGATGATGATCAATGCTTCAAGCACACAACGATGATGATCAATGCTTCAAGCACACAGCCCAATATGTGCAAATTTAGCAAAGTTGGCGTAGACTTTGTTCATGATGGGTTTCCATGAGGTTTCATTTCGCAAGACCACTCTTTGAAGTCATTTGTTGCCTCATCCCCAACTATTTTCTTCTTCTTCTCCTCCTTCTTCCTGGGCAGGTGGGTGCAGTGCTCAAAAGTCCTAAATTGCTATTGGTATATCTTACAAATTTCCCCCAGTCTATAAAATACCAACCTTTCTTGCTTCTTGAAACCATGTTTTTGCAAAAGCGTGTTCAACACACCTCCACATCAAGATTATTTGAAGTGATTCGCACGCCTCGCAATTTTGGAACAAAGTGCTGAAACTTGAACAAATATGGTGGCACCCCTGAAAGGATAGTGTGGAGCAAAGGACGGGTTTGGGGGAACCTTATCTTTCCCAAAATGTGACCCCAATGACTCTTGCAGTACAGTTTTGAGCCCAGGTCAATTTGCATTCGGGTTACCTGCGTTCTTTTATAAGGACACATATTTGTTCGTTGAGGGTGAAATTAGTTTTCATATACTGAAATCCCCATCGCACAGAATGCAAATAAACTCTCTACATAATGACAATAAACGTGAAGAAGCCAACAAAGCATACCGTAGCTAAGTTCATCCCAATGAAGCACCTAACTGGAAACTGCACTCATAAAAAGCCAAAATGACCCTAAGATTATAAATCATGAGGAAAGTATAGTGTCAAAATTGCAGAGATAACTCGTACAACGGGAGCTAGTCTATGGGGTAGGCCCGAGGTAGGAGTGATCGTAGTGTTCGTTCCTAAGTCGTTCACTTGTGCTCACTCTACTTGCGCATTCAAAGGGAAAGTTGGCAAGAGTTTCACTAGCAAAGGTTCACAACAATGGTTGACAATGGCAAAGCAACACTGTCTACATCAGGAGCTAGCATGCAACTAGGTCGACCGCGTTCCAACACGACATGGTCGACCACGCTCCAGCAGTGCAAAGTCGCGATCTGCCAATGCTGCAAGTCGACGGCGTGCCAACGCTACAGCCAGGCAGCTGCACAACGTTGCACCCGCAGGACAGCACCGCACCCGCTTCGCAGGTGCTTGCAGTTGATTGGCGTGCTGTGCCTCGTCACCTGCACAGTGCAGACGCCAAGCCGACCACGTGCCCACGACTGCACCTGATCCGCCCACGTCGACCTCGGGATACCACCTCCGAGGCCGGCTTCGCCAGAACCACCTGGGCGTCTGTCGCGTACCTTCGCAGAACTTCGTCGCCCGCGTAACTTGGTTGACCTGGCAACCACGTCGACCAGCTGCTTCTCCTCATGCCCGTCGACCACCCAAGTCGACCACATCCCTGGTCGACCAGCTCCAGGTCGACCAGCCCAGCTGTCAGCCGACCACACTAAGTCGGCTTCACCAGGTCGGCGTCACCAAGTCGACGCCCTCCTAGGTCGACCTCCCAAGTCAACCTCCCAAAGTCGGCGCCCCACCCAGGTCGACGTCTCCCCTCGTCGACCACCGGGTTGAAGTCGTCCGCCGGCGTCCCCAAGTCGGCGGCATCGCAGTGGCCCAGTGCAGGTCGACCAACCCGTCGACCAGCTCGCCCAAGTTGGCGTCGCCCACTGCTGCTGGTCGGTTGCACCTCCCGCACACCCGACCACGAAGTCGGCTCCGCCCAAGCAAGGACGGGGCCAACACACAACTCCCGTTGACAAAAAATACACCTGCGTCCACTTATTTTTAGAAAAACATGGCCTTCCATTGATAAGAGACTAGTTTGATGAGAGACTAGTTCAATGGAAAAACAACATGTAAACGGAACTCAAATAAGGGTTCTCGGAAGGCTTGGATTATTCCACTACAAACAATTAGGTAACAACAGTATTAAGCGAGCAGCGACAAATTCTATTGGCCTCATGACAACTAGTATCAACTACGAATGCTATCGGCTGTGTTTAGGCTTGGGGAGAATCTTCGGGAGCATGACCAAGAGCAGCACCGGGGGCAGCACCGGGGGCTCGGCCAGGTGCAGCCCCGGGAGCAGCACCGGGAGCACGGCCTGGAGCAGTACTGGGAGAAGCCCCAGGAGCAGCACCAGGAGCAGCGCCGGGAGCAGCGCCGGGAGCAGCACCAGGGGCAGCACCGGGAGCAGCACCGGGAGCTTGGCCGGGAGCTTGGCCGGGAGCAGCACTGGGAGCAGCACCGGGAGCAGCCCTGGAGCCCCACCAGGATAAGCTCCGGGAGCAGCACCGGGAGCAGCCCCGGGAGCAGCACCGGGAGCAGCCTCGGGAGCAGCACCGGGAGCAGCCCCGGGAGCTTGGCCGGGAGCAGCACCTGGAGCCCCACCAGGAGCAGCACCAGGAGCTTGGCCAGGAGCACCGCCGGTACCTGCACCAGCAGCAGCCCCTCGTGTAGGCGTAGGGGCAGGGGCAGGGGTAGGAGCAGGAGTGGGGGCAGGAGTAGGAGCAGGAGTGGGGGCAGGAGTAGGAGAAGGGGTAGGAGAAGGGGTGGGAGCAGGAGTGGGAGCAGGGGTGGGAGCAGGGGTGGGAGTAGGAGTGGGAGCAGGTGCAGGGGTAGGCGCAGCAGCAGGCACAGGTGCGCAGCGAGGAGGGGCGGGAGCACCAGAGGGCACACCAGCCAGAGGAGGAGGTTCCATGCTAGGAGCAGATGGGGCAGGGTAGGGGCGCAGGGCGCTAGGCGGCTGCTGGCCAATCCCCAGCAGGTTCAGATTCACCCGCATTACTGCTGGTGCTCCGGGAGGGGTGGGGCCAGGGGGTGTGGTGGCCCCAAGAGCTTCTATCACCGCACGGAGCGGCACGTCAAAGGATCCTCTTGAGAGTAGCTCGAATATCTTCCCGCGGCGAATGAATTTTCTAGCGAGAGTGGGCGCGTCGGCCTTGGGAATGGTGACTTCGACGTTCTGCTGGTCCACGTTGGAGCGAAAGACGGAGCCAGAGACGCGGGAGAAGAGCAGCTTGGTGTTTTTGGGCTGGAAGGAGTAGTCGCTCGTAGTGTTATCGATGGGGAAGCGCCCGCCCCAGATCTGCACCTGGGGATTCTTGAAGGTCAGATTTGCGAACTCGTTTGGGCCTGCGGGTGGGGCGATAAAGGCTGTCCACGTGGCAGGGTCTGATGAGAAGTTGGACGAGATCCACTCAGCCTGCGCATGACAAAAAGGCATAGCAATATTTTCAGGACCATCATCCACGCCACATTCAATAAAACTACTAATTTCAGAGAAATTCAATCTGACAACCAAGATTTATCCGATGGGGATTCCACTTACAAAGATGGGTGTGAACTGCAGCCGGATGACCCTCAACACGTTGATAACAACCGGCCCCACCAGCTTGAACTGCCCCGGACTGCTCGCCTTCCTCAACCCAGGCGGCCCCTCCAGCGACCACGACGAGACGGAGTTGTCAAGAATTGCGTTGAGGTCCACCAATCCGCGCATGACAAGTGGTGGTTTTTGTACGCAAGCAGGTGCTGAAAACGTGGAAAGAAGCAGCACGATCGAGAGGGAGGCTAGAACAGCTCCGAGGAGAAGCTGTCAGAATGTTACATTGCTTACTTTGTGTAGGCTATAGTGGGGTAGCCCATAAGGGGTACAACCCAATTAGGGTTAGTACTTGTACCCAACTTCTGTTCAATGCATTCATTCTCATTCGTTAGTTTTGACATGGTTTCAGAGCAGGTCCTTCGCTAGGACCGAACTTTTTTAGGGCCCACCACAGAGCTGCCCCAATAGCTGCCCTGCCCTACTAGCGCGCCGCCCTGCTGGCTCACGCGCCGCCCTCTGCAGCCCTCGTGCCGCACCTGCTGCCCCGCGCGCCGCCCTTTTGCGGCCCGCCCGTAGCCCCTAGGCCCCGCGAGTCGCCCCTTGCGGCCTGCCTGTCGACCCTAGGCCCCGCGCGCCCGCCCCAGCCGGCCCGCCCGTCGCCCCTAGGCCCCGCGCGCCCGCCTCTACAGGCTCGCCCGTCGACCCTAGGCCCCGCGCGCCCGCTCCTACAGGCCCGCCCGCCGCCCCTTGCGGCCCGCCCGTCGACCCTAGGCCCGGCGCGCCCGCCCCTACAGGCCCGCCCGTCGACCTTAGGCCCCGCGCGCCCGCCCGTCGACCCTAGGCCCCGCGCGCCCGCTCCTATAGGCCCGCCCGCCGCCCCTTGCGGCCCGCCCGTCGACCCTAGGCCCCACGCGCGCCGCCCCTTGCCGGCCCGCCCGTCGACCCCAGGCCCCGCGCGCCGCCCCTACAGGCCTGCCCGTTGACCCTAGGCCCCGCGCGCCGCCCCTTCCGGCCCGCCCGTCGACCCTAGGCTCCGCGCGCCGCCTCTGCTGCCCTGCTCACCGCCCCTTGCGGCCCGCCCCTCGCCCCTGCAGCCCGTGAGCCGCCCTTGCAGGCCCGCGCGCCGCCCCTGGTGGCCCTCTTGCCGCCCCTGCTGCCCTACTCGCCGCCTCTTGCGGCCCTCTCGCAGCCCCTGCAGCCTCGCGCGCCGCTCCTTGCGACCCGCCCGCCGCCCCTAGGCCCACCGACCGTCCCTAGGCCCCCGAGCTGCCCCTCTTGCAGCCTGCGCGCCGCCACTTGCAGCCCGCTTGCCGCCCCTTGCTGCTGCCTGCCCTGCTCCCTGCGCTACCAGGCTCCTACCCGCCCTACATGCTGCGCAGCTATGGCTTCTCTCCGTTCTTGCGTTCGATCATGAGGGCCGCCCGATCCAGTTTGGCACGTGGCTCGCCGACCTGCAGCTGTACCTACTGAGCGACACTAGAGACAACGTTTCGTTGTTTGACCACACGTCTGGCACCTCTCCCGCCCCTCCCGCCACAGCTGACAGTGCGACTCGCTTACAGTGGCTTACTCATGACGCTGCTGCTCCCTTAGCCATTCGCAACCACCTGCCGTTAGCCGAATGCACTCACTTCGGACAGCACAGGACTGCACAGGCACTGTACGACGCTGTAATCGCCCGTTACTCCTTGCCTGCCACTGCTGCTCTAGGCTGTCTTCTACTGCCCTACCTGTTTCCCGAGCTGTCCGCCTTTGCCACAGTAGAGGACCTGGTTACCCACCTCCGCACTAGCGACGCTCGCTACCACGCTGCCCTCCCAGCAGAGTTCCTTGACAGGAACCCGCCCCCGATGTACATCACTCTCTACTTTATAGTCACCCGCCTCCCTGACTCTCTTCGCTCTGTCAGGGACCACTTTCTCGCGCTTGACCCCACAGTCCTCACTGTCGACCTACTCGAGCAGCACCTCCTTGCAGCTGAGACTAGTGTAGTCGCTGTAGGTGCTGCTCGTGGCACTCCTCGCACGCCCTTCTTTGAGGGGTGTTCCCCCTCCCCCCTTGCCCCCTCCTACGCCTCTGCTGCTGCTGTTGACGCCCTTGGTGCTGAGGGTGTCGGGGCTGCTTCTGCTAGTGGGAAGCGCCGCAGCAGCAAGGGCAAGGGTGACAGGGGTGGTGGCGGTGGCAACGGGGGTGGTGGTGGGGGCAGCAGTGGAGGTGGTGGAGGCAGTGGAGGTGGTGGCGGTAGTGGGAGCGGTGGCGGGAGAGGGGGCTTTGGTGGCGGCGGTAGTGGCAGCGGTGGGGGTGGCGGTACCGGCGGCAGTGGGAGTGGTGGTGGTCGGGCTGGAGCTACTCAGCGTGGAGGTTCTGGCGGTGGCCAGAGGCAGCAGCAACAGCGTCGGAGCGAGACCCCGTCACCCCAGCAGCTTCGTGAGTGGTTTTCTCAGCGTGGGGCGTCTGGGGGTAGTGGTAGCTGCCCGTATGTCATTCGCACGGGTGACCGTGCTGGTCAGACATGCGGGAAGCCTCACACTCAGCACCGTTGCTTCTCCCGCCTCGACGACGCTTGGCCCGCAGAGTTTGGTGACGAGGCCAAGCGCCCCCGCTGGGCAGAGCTGCTTACGTCTGGCGTTGCTATCTTTGACCTAGACTATGATGCTATCCTTGCTGCTATGTATGCCTTGTCTGTTAGTGCTGAGGGTGACTGTTACCTGTGTGTGCTGCCTGACCCAGGTATAGAGGCTGCTGCTCTAGGTGCTAGTGAGTCTGCTCTCCCTGGTACTGCGCTTGCTGAGGCCTTGCACACCTTTACACTTGACTCAGGTGCTTCACGCTGTTTATTTCGCGACAGCACCACCTTCACTCCTCTCTCTGCACATGTACCTGTCAGACAGGCTGACCCCTCAGGGGGCCCAGCCGTTACCCATTCCTCCACTGTTCTCCCGTGTCCGGCGGTTCTGTCCGGCTCACTGTCAGGGCTTCACCTCCCCTCGTTCTCTACGAACTTGGTGAGTACCGCTGCCCTCCAGGATGCGATGGTCACTACCACAACTCCTGGGGGTCAGCGTGTGTCGATCTGCACGTGTACACGGACGGGCCGTCACCTGGCCACGTTCACTCGTCGGCCTGGGTCAAGTCTGTACACACTCGCTACGGAGCCTCCTCAGGTAGCTGCGTCTGCCCAGGTGTCCGCGTCAGGTCAGGTAGCACCCCCTTGTTCGTGTCGTCTCCTGTCGCACCAGACTTTCCTGTGGCACCACCGCCTGGGTCACCCCTCCCTGCCACGTCTTTGTGGCATGCACTCCCGCCTTCTTGTCTCTGGTCTTCCCAGGTCTCTACCTCCCCTCCTGCCCTCGCTTGCCCTGCCCTGCCTTCCTTGTGTCGAGGGGCGGCAGCACGCCGCTTCTCACTCCTCGTTTCCCCCGACGACTGCTCCCTTGCAGACTCTCCACATGGACGTGTGGGACCCAGCCCGCGTCAGTGGACAGGGCCGCGAGCGCTACTTTCTGCTGGTTGTTGACGACTACACACGCTACACCTCGGTCTTCCCCTTGCGCAGCAAGGGTGAGGTCCCTGATGTCTTGATCCCTTGGATCCGCGCAGTCCGTCTCCAGCTTCGCGAGCAGTTCCGCCGGGACCTTCCTGTCCTGCGTCTGCACTCTGACAGAGGTGGTGAGTTCTCCTCCGACCTCTTGCGGGACTTTTGTCGTGGGGAGGGCATTCTTCAGTCGTTCACGCTTCTGGACTCCCCTCAGCAAATTGGGATTGCTGAGCGCCGCATTGGCTTAGTCATGGAAGCTGCTCGTACCTCCATGATCCATGTGGCTGCTCCCCATTTTCTGTGGTCGTTTGCGGTCCGGTACGTTGCGCATCAGCTCAACCTCTGGCCCCGTGTCTCCTTGCCAGAGACCTCGCCGACACTGCGTTGGACGGAGGAGGTTGGCGATGCGTCGGAGTTCCGGGTCTGGGGCTCTTGTGCCTTTGTTCGCGATACGTCCGCGGACAAGCTCTCCGCCTGCGCTATTCCCTGCGTCTTCCTTGGCTTTCCCCCTGGCGCGCCTGGCTGGCAGTTTTACCACCCCACCTCGCGCCGTGTCCTCCCCTCTCAGGATGTCACGTTTGACAAGTCGGTTCCCTTTTACCGTCTCTTCCCCTACCGCTCTACCCCTCTCCCACCCTTGCCACTCTTCCTTGCTCCAGGTCCCCCTCCGATAGACCCCCTCCCTCCTCAGGGTCCTGCTCCCTCAGGTGTGTCTCAGGTAGACCCTCTCCCTGGTACTGTGCTTGTTGAGGTAGCTGACGACTCAGGTGCTTCTCGAGGTGCTGCGTCTGGGGGTGCGAAGCCTGGGGGTGCGGAGCCTGGGGGTGCTGAGTCTGAGGGTGCCGGGTCTGGGGGTGCTGAGCCTGGGGGTGCGGAGCCTGGGGGTGCTGAGCCTGCGGGTGTGGAGCCTGGGAGTGCTGAGCCTGAGGGTGTGGAGCCTGGGGGTGCTGAGCCTGAGGGTGTGGAGCATGGGGGTGCTGAGTCTGAGGGTGCGGAGTCTGGGGGTGCTGAGCCTCGGGGTACTGCTTCTTCTGGAGGTCCTACGGGTGCTTCGCCACGTCTGTCTCCCCGGCCGGAGCCTCTCTCCCCGCAGCAGCTGCGCGAGTGGTTTGCTCAGCGCACACGCCTTCGGAGTGGAGCTGCCGGAGCTGGAGACTCTGCCGCTGGAGACACTGGAGCTGGAGGTGCTGGAGCTACTCGTCTTGGAGGTGCTGGCGTTACTGCTTGAGCTGGTGGTACCGGAGGTGCTGCAGCTGCTGGTCCTGGAGGTGCTCGTACCAAGGGTAATGGAGCTGCTGGGACTGGTAGAGTTGGGGGCGCTGGAGCTGGAGGAGCTGGAGCTGGAGACTCTGCGGAGCGTGGAGGCGCTGGAGCTGGAGGCTCTGGCGCTAGAGCAGCTGGAGCTGGTGACACTGGAGCTGTTGACACTGGTGCTGGTGGCACTGGCGCTGGAGGAGCTGGAGCTGGAGACACTGGAGCTGTTGACCCTGGAGCAGGAGGTGCTGGAGCTGGGGGTGCTATGTCTAACGGTTCTGGTGCTGGAGGCACTGTGCGACCGCGACCGTACTTCGTTCCCCTGCTTCAACAGGTTCTTGGTCTCCCGTCTTCTACTGGCCTTCCTCCTCCCTTCCTGTGTCCACCGCCTGCCCAGTCACAGCCGTCGTTACAGCCGGCCTCCCCACTGCCTGCTCCTTCTGCTTACACTGAGCAGACCGGGGGTCTTACAGAGCGTCGTGAGCCTGAGTCTCGTCCTGCCTCGTCTGTTCGCGCTGTTCGCAGTGGTCGTCGCGTTCCTCGTCCGCGGCCTCCTCCTGTCCTCGACACCCACGCTATGGCACTTCGTCCTTCCTCTGTTCCACTGCATGTTCCTCTACCTGCTCCTCTTGAGTCCTCTCTTCCTGCCGTCCCTGACCCTAAGTCTGACCTCACTCGTGCTGCCAGCCCCACTGTCTCTCGTCTCTTCGCCACTGCTGTCACTGACCCTTCTTTTGAGTCCACTGCTGCATCTGCCCTCGTTGCTGAGCTGGTTGACTTTGCTGCTGCCTGTCGTCTAGACTACGCCATTGCTCTTGTTGCTGAGTCTGACTCTGCCGGTCCTTCGTCCGTCGGGGGTGAATGTGCTCTTGGCACGGACGTCCTTGAGGACACGAAGGAGGACTTTGAGTGTCTTACAGCTGCTGTACCTCGTTTCGCTTCCATGCTGCTTGCCCTTGAGGGAGACCCGGATGCACTAGACATCCCGACCCCGCGCTCTTACGCAGAGGCGATTACGGGTCCTTACTCCTCTTAGTGACAGACAGCCATGGATGCTGAGATGGCATCCTGGAAGTCCACAGGCACCTACGTCGACGCAGTTCCCCCGTCTGGGGCGAACATAGTCGATGGCATGTGGATTTTCAGGGTGAAGCGGCCGACGGGTTCTCCGCCTGCCTTCAAGGCACGTTACGTTGCTCGAGGCTTCAGTCAGCGACAGGGGGTCGACTACTTCCAGACGTTCTCCCCCACCCCGAAGATGACCACTCTTCGGGTGTTGCTGCACGTCGCTGCTCAGCGTGACTACGAGCTGCACTCTCTAGACTTCAGTACAGCTTTCTTGCAGGGCAGCCTGCACGAGGAGATCTGGCTGCGCCGCCCACCTGGCTTCACTTGGTCGTTTCCTGCAGGTACCCAGTGGAGCCTCCGGCGGCCAGTCTACGGTCTCCGCTAGGCGCCTCGCGAGTGGCACGACACACTGAGGACTACACTTGCGGCTCTGGGGTTTACTCCTTCGACTGCTGACCCGTCGCTGTTTCTACGCACCGACACGTCGTTGCCGCCGTTCTACGTCCACTGCTGACACTGAGGCACTGACCCTTGTGAAGTCGGAGCTGCAGAAGAGACACACCTGCACTGACCTGGGTGAACTGCGGAGCTATCTTGGCTTGTAGATCACCCGGGACAGAGCACGGCGCATCATCACACTGACTCAGTCACACATGGTGCACTAGGTCCTTCAGCGCTTCGGCTTCCCGTTCTCCTCGCCACAGCCCACTCCTCTGTCTACCAGCCACTCGCTCTTAGCTCCACCTTCGGACGAGTCCGTAGAGCCGAGTGGTCCGTACCCAAAGCTTGTGGGTTGCCTCATGTACCTGATGACGTGCACACTACCTGACCTCGCGTACCCTCTCAGCCTTCTGGCTCACTACGTGGCTCCCGGTAGGCACCGAAAGGTGCACTGGGATGCTGCGAAGAGGGTACTGCGTTACTTGTGCAGTGCGTCGGGCATGGGGCTCGTGCTTGGAGGACGGGGTCCAGTTGTCCTCACAGGTCACGCAGACGCTTCTTGGGTTGACGACTCAGCTACGCAGCGGTCGTCACAGGGTTACACCTTCAGCCTCGGTTCCGGCTCTGTTTCCTGGTGGTCTACCCGCTCGTCTTCGGTTCTCAGTTCTAGTTGTGAGGCTGAGATCTACGCAGGGGCCATGGCTGCACAGGAGCTACGCTTTGTCACCTAGCTGCTGACTGACTTGGGAGAGAAACCTCGTTCGCCTCCAGTTCTGTACGTAGACAACAAGGCCATGATTGCCTTGTGTTAGGAACACAGACTGGAGCACAGAGTTGCAGTAGCGTGGCCAGCTTCGTCTTGCATACGTGGCCACTAGGGCCAACACTGCTGATATATTCACCAAGGCACTTCCGCCTGGTGATCATCAGCGCTTCTTTGCTCTTTTAGGCCTTGTGCCTACTTTGCCTCACTTGCTCACTGCGTGACTCTGCTTGTACTGTGATATATATATATACCTGCATGCTTACTCTTACTAGGCTATGATCACTGTACTGTTTGTGCTCTTTATATAACACTGCACGTGAACTGGCCTTGTGGCCCTTTGCTTGTGCTCAGAATGTGTGGTGACTTTGTGATCCACCCTGAGCTTGCTTTGTTTTTCTTGACTGGTCTTGTAACCACTTGTTCTCCCCCACTTTGTCTATGGGGGTGTGTCAGAATATTACATTGCTTACTTTGTGTAGGCTATAGTGGGGTAGCCCATAAGGGGTACAACCCTATTACGGTTAGTACTTGTACCCAACTTCTGTTCAATGCATTCATTCTCGTTCGTTAGTTTTGACAGAAGCGTGCGGGAATCCATGGTGGGAACGGAGGAGCCAAACGAGGATGCAGAGGCAGGTAGCTCGGTATGAAAATGGAAATAGTAGATGGACCAGGCTCGCAGAATGAGGCACAAAAAAACCAGGCAAAGCTGGCTGGGTGTGGTTGGTGAAAAATCGCCAGGGTACTTGGTATTTTGTGAATGTGGAGTGGGGAGAAATTTGGTTGCAATAATGGGAGAATGTGGAGGACGAAATGCGGCTCGCGGATTATCGGTCGGCTGGGATGGGGTGTGATTTTGCGACAGCTGTTTATTTTGCTCTGATTGGTTTAAAATCGTCGCGAAACAGGTTACAGTCGGTTCCAGGGAAATTCGACTGAATCGTGGAGACCTCAGCGCACTTGGCGGTAGTACCGTACCTGTACGGTACCAGCTGGACTTGAGAGACTCGTGCTGAATGTCTGCCATGTCATGTTCGAATTTTCCCACATAAAATCTGTACGCCTTTTATGCAGGGTGCAGTGCCTCTTTTATAGAGACTGCTGTACCGGAGAATATATATTTATTTATAAGGATATTATTTCACCAATACTTACCGTATGTTGCTTTGGCCATATTTTTTTTTCTAGAGGGTGGAAAATCCGAGGAATTTTATAAGCGACGGCGTTTATAAAATGGCAAAAACAATTTCTATCTGTTTTACACCAAACTGTAGATCTCGTTCTGCCGATTGCAATCGAGTCGAAAACATATAGGGTTGCGAATCTGATTCTCGCGCAGCTTGGTAGGGAGTGATTCCCTGCCAACTCAAACTGACAGAATGACAGCACATGCTGACTAGACGCTCAAAAAGTGAGATTTGTAGTTCGTTTCCCTTACAATGTGAAATTTGTTTCTGTATTTCGTCAGATTTTCAAATGAAAAACCAACATGCGCTTATAATAAATCATCTTTTTTTAGGGGGAGGGCTTATAATCGAGGATCGGATATAAGCGTCGTCATCCTTTTATAAGCGTCGGCGCTTATCCGAGGCCTGCGCTTTTATCTGGGGGCTTACGGTGTGATGGGGGAGTGTGATTTCTTTCGAGTTTCCCGGAATCTTCATGCCAAGGAAATAAACAATGGTACAGTCCCGTAAAGTATTCATACGTGGGCGTAGTTCATGTTGGGCAAGTTCATGTTTGTACAGAGGCTTGTACATGTTCTTAACCGACCATAAACATTAGGGAAATCATAATCAATAGAGAGAGACAATACAATACACTCAGTTCAGAGACGCCAACAATTCTGGAGGTGCTTAAATTGGGGAAAACAATATTCCTTTTGTCCCCTTCAACCATTACTGGCAACAACAGTATGGGCATACGGTGTGAGTGGAGAAAGAAATCTATATGTGAAAGCCAGAAATTTGTTATGCTTAAAAGGCACATGCGCAGTACAACACATCCTATCCAGCCTTAGCAAGGGCAGGGGCAGGAACAGGAGCTGGGCCAGGAGCAGGAGCAGCGGAAGGGACACCAGCCAGAGGGGGAGGCTCCCTCCCCGGACCAGCAGGTGCGGGACGCCCTCCAATGGTTCGGGGAGGCTGCCGACCAATGGCCTGCAGACTGAGGTTGAATCGCATGATCACCTCATCAGGGAAATTAGGCCCAGGAGGAGGAGGACCGGGTTCCACGCCTAGAGCATCAACCATAACACTGGAAAGACCAGAGCGGTAAGAGAGGGTAGGTTAGGGGAGTGGGAAGAGAAAGAAGACAGAAACAGGGGAAGCATGGAGCAGGGAGAAGTGGGGGGAGGGGCGGGGGTGGGGCGCTGCACCCATGTGGTCGTGTTGGTTCTACTTGCGGAAAGCCCCAGCAGCCTTGAAAGAGAGGAGGATGCGAGCAAAGGAGGCATTGATGCCAGGGCCAGGAGGAGGAGATCCACGAGGAGGAGGGGCAATCGCTGCGAACATAACACTGCAAAGGGGTGGTGGGTTGGGAAGGTTGTGTTGTGTGGCGATAGAACACGGGGTTTGGGAGGACCCGGGGTCGGGGGTGGAGAGGGCAAATGTGCAGACATTAAATAGATATGTAGCCCTTTAAAAGTTCAACAAACTAGAGTGTTGATAGTTCCTGGGCCTTACCGGAGTGGAATGTCAAGCTCGCCTCCAGAAATGAGCTCAAAGACAGGACCCTGTAAGAACAGCAGCAGAACAAAGGAAATCAGCTTATCATATGTACCACCATTCATGAGATTAAGGAACATGAGGAACAAACGTGGAACACGAGGAGGAAGGGGAGAGGGGACAGTTAGTTTAGTATAGTAGAGCCTACCCTTCGGATGAATTTCCCATTCAGTGTCGGGATGTTTCCCGCAGGCAGCGTGATCACCACATTCTGCTTGTCCACGTTGGAGAGCAGCAGGGTGCCGGACACGCGGGAGAAGACAAGCCTCGTGTTGTTGGGCTTGAAGGAATAGTCACTCGTTGTGTTGTCAATGTCAAAACGTCCCCCCCAGATCTGTACGATGGGATCCTGGAATGTCAGGTTGGCGAACTCGTTGGCACCTGAAGGTGGAGCTATGGAAGCTGTCCATGTGGCAGGATCCGAGGTCAGATTGGAAGACAACCACTCAGCCTGCACAACAAATCAAGAATACAAGAAAGCATGTAAATAATAAAAGCAAATGAAGCAAAAAAAACACGCAGGCGAAGCTTTAGCCTGAGAAGTTTCAGATTCAAATTATTGGAAAACACTCACCTGGATGGGCGTGAACTGTGGGCGGATGACCTTGAGCACGTTGAGAACAACGGGCCCCACCAGCTTGAACTGTCCTGGACTGCTCTCCTTGCGCAGCGCTGGCGGGCCCTGCAGCGACCATGACGACACTGAATTCTCGGGAATGGTCTTCAGATCCACTATGCCGCGCTGCTGCGGCTGCGCGCCGACGAGTGCGGCAAGTGAGGCGAGTGTCGCGAGGATGCGGAGGAAACGGGGGGAGGCGTGGAGCGCCATGGGTGCAGGCGGGGTTACAGGGTGGATAAGAGTGCAGTGTCAATAGGAAGAGTCTCCAACGGAGGAGAAGAAGACGGGGTCAGGCAGGCAACGGAGGGCTGCTAGACGTCGCAGGAGACGGCAGATTTAGCTGCTTCTGGGCTGAAAGAGAAATTGAAGACTCCAGAGGCAGGCAGATGCTGCTGAATCTCGTCAAAAGAGTGCGCTTAAAAATGAACAAGTACAGACGATTTTGTTTTCCGTGCGAGGCTCGGCGATGAGAGCGCGACGCCGCGGTTGACGCCATCGCATTGTTCGCAAAATGCTCGCCGGACCACGTCGCATGCCATGGTGGCTCCTCGAGGTAATGCAGGCACAACGAACAGTATCGACGAGGCACATGCAGCTTGACTTGTCCAGCTCGGATTCATTCTTAGGTCTCGTTACGAGCCACCCAAAATGAAACAGCTACTACTTGAACCTCGCCATGTAGACCCATACCATGCACGTAGCTGGAAGTTCTAGAGAGTAATAAGGCAGAGACGGAATGATGACATTCTAGTCCCCTGCTGCGGCGATGCGAGGTGCCTGATTCAACGCATCGACATGGATGGTGAGCCTCTTGGTGCCACTTCAGAAAAATGGCTGTTCTGTGTGCCTGTAGTTGTCCGTCATGGATTCGACGACATTCTTGGGAATGCCAGATTCTGGAAAGAAATATTGGTGTTGTTCTGCAGGCATCACGGAGGGAAGGGGAGTGAAAATAGGAAGCTGCCTGCCTCTGCAATTTTAGGTTCGAAAAAACGGTCAGCCCGTAAAATGCCGACGTGGCAGTCATTTCCCTTCCGAACCTAATCGAAGGGAAATGCCAGCGGAACAGTCATTTCATTTTAGGTTCCTGTTTCCCCTTACCACCTTCCTCCTCTGGCAAATTTATTTGCCTCCGCCTAATTTCCACCAGAGCACGTTTTCCACCCCTGATTTCATCTGAGCCCAAGTTTCGCAGGCTGTTGCTGTGATGTCAGACTTACAATGTTGACAGGGAGTCCGCCATGGATTCTGCCGTGCAGTTTCGAGTTTAGATCCCGTGAAGGTTCCGTGTCAGATGACCTCAACAACTATAGATCCGGACTCCTCGTTACAAGGCGCATCGATCGATACTATTTTTGTGTCTACAAGTCAGACATTGTATCATTCGTTATCCGGGATCCGGTTTCTTGTCAGGCATCTAACTTCAAGGTTCCTTATGACTGGCTACTAACTCCAAGGTTTCGGCTCTCTGTTTTAAGTGTTCGGTTTTACAACAAGGACTACATTGCAACTATTACGGCTATTACCTACCATGATCCCGAGGCTTCCACCTCTGTCTCTCATCATCAGCAGCAAGAACAATGGTCAAACGCTTCAGCATTATACCTAGTTAACCAGTCTGTGCTCAGCGTTATGGCATCAGCTCAGGCATCACAGGTATATTTTTCAGCTTTATAGCCATTCCTTACTCATCATCGCACGATGCCTCCCAAAGGGAAGCCCAAGGCTCTGACGGAGGCCTCATCGCTGAAGTTTCCACCGTCAACCGTGGGAGCCCCGTCCTCGTCTCCTGCTCCTGCTTCAAAGGGCAAAGGCAAGGTTGAAGATTCTGGCAATGTGACTCATGCTGATGCTACGGCGAGCGGTTCCGGCCTCTCCTTGGAGGAAAAGCTGCGCTCTCTTCGTACGGCTGCTCCTGACAGCGGCTTCCTCGATGATGACTCCGACGAGGAACTTGAAGTCGACGTCAGGACGGAGGCTTTCAACCACGTTCGCTATACGGCGATTCTTCTGCTTCCGGTGGCTCTCGCCTTGGAAGTGGCATCAGTCATTACCACGGTCTGGACCCTGATGAGGCGTGTCTGGTCTTCAACGCTCTCCGATGGTGCTGCTGACTCGGCGAAGTTCCAAGAACTCCTCCCGGCATACGTGGCGAAGACCCGCGACAGTCGGCTGCAAGTCTCCCTCCTGCACGAAGACGACATCAGGAGCATCAGGTCGAAGGAGGTTGTCTACACGCGTCCGAACGGCACGGTTTTCAGACTCTACTGGCAACACACTTACAATCCCGCATTTGTACGGGAGCGGGCGACGAATGCTCAGGTGATCGAAGTGGTGATCCGCGACGTACCTGCGATGAAGACACCTGAGATGCTGCAGGAGCTGATGGTGGTTTACCAGTTGCAGAATCAGAAGCGTTCGGCGTTCGGCATTGACGGTGTCTGCTTCCATCGCGTTCTGCATCCGGTTACTGGTGCTGATACCGACGTCATCAAGGGTCTCGTGATCCCGCATCCTGGTGACCGCTATCGCTGGCGCCATGTCTTCCAAGATCCGTCCGAGATCGGTCGTCGCTACTTGGTCCACTTCCATGCGCTGTCTTGCCTGCTCTGCAATGGACAACATTATGATGTCAATCATGATGCTTTCACGACAGAGCGGCAAAACAACATAGGAAAGTGGAACCTTACCTTGGGAAGGGTTCACCGCATCAATGGTAACTGCTTTTTTAACCATGATCACTCTCACCGTTATGTTCTTCCTTGTGCTGACTGTCAAGTGGTTCCATGCAGCTGCTTCTCTCCCGGCTTCGCCGCTGATCACTCCTATTCTGCTGGATCCGGCGATCGTGCTCATCTCCATTGGAGGGAACCGGGAGGAGTGGATCTGCACTCAAGTGGGCTGCGGGAAGGCCAAGGGGAGGAGCTTCATGACTGCAGCGGATCACATCACATCGGCCAACCACCTCATTCATCTGGAGCAGCTCGGCTCTGCCACGCATGCTTCTCTCGAAAAAGCGAGTCTCACTGTCACGAAGAAAGACTACGGGATCTGAGGCAGGATCAGCTTGGCAGTCATGCAGCAGCAGCGGCAGTAGGTCTCACGGTAGTCAGTGTCGTACTCTTCTTTACCCTGTGGATGCGTAGGGGTTCTTAGATTATTATTAAATGAATAAGAAAAGCCTTATCAGCTTCGCAGGCCTTAATGTCAACGGCCTTGGAGATAAGACCAAACAGCAACGCGTTCTAGACTGGTCCAGACAAGCAGCTGATATCTTAGTACTCTCAGACACTAGGATAGCCTCAGACCACCCTCTCTGGACTCATCCCACTTACAGTTTAGCAGCCGACTTCACCTAGATCGAAGGCTGGCGGAGTAGCTCTGATTTGTAGATCGCAACTCCTAAGCTTTAGCAACGTGCTAGTTCATCCCTCGGGTAGATTAGTCTCTGCAGAAATCCACAGTCTCAATCTCCATCTTACAGCCATAGCCTGTTATTTCCCAGCAAACCCGACCTCACGCGCTGCCTTCATCCGCGATACTCTCGGTCCGGTAGTCGATCTGGTCCCGCCATCCAATCACCTGCTCATCATGGGGGATCTTAACATCATAGAAGACCCAGTATTAGATAAGTCATCGCGTTTAGGTTCATCTGCTGAAAACGATAGGTTATTCAATCGCTACAGCACTTTCCAGCTATTAGATGTCAAACATATATATAGCTTACATTGTGTAGGCTGTAGTGGGGTAGCCCATAAGGGGAACAACCCAATTAGGGTTAGTACTTGTACCCAACTCTTTGCTAGTTCATTCATTCTCGTTCTTTCATTCTTGACATGGTTTCAGAGCAGGTCCCTTCTAGGACCGGTTTTGTTTGGGCCCACCACCTGCTGCCTTGTTAGCCATCCTCGCGACCCGTAGGCCCCTAGGCCCCGACCCGTCGCCACCCCTAGCCCGGCCCGTCGCCACCCCTAGCCCGGCCCGTCGCCACCCCTAGCCCGGCCCGTCGCCCCTTGGCGTCGCCCGTCGCCCCTAGCCCGGCCCCCCGTCGCCCGTCGCCCGTCGCGACCCTCGTCGTCCGTCGCCCGTCGCGACCCCCGTCGCCAGTTGCGACCCGTCGCCCCTAGCCTAGGCCCCTCGGCCCCACGGCCCCTCGCTACCCGTCGCCCCCTAACCTAGGCCCAGGCCTCGCGGCCACGTCGCCCCGTCGCCCCTAGCCTCGGCCCCTCGGCCCCGCGGCCCCTTGCGACCCGTCGCCCCCCCCTAACCTAGGCCCAGGCCCGCGGCCACGTCGCCCCGTCGCCCCTAGCCTCGGCCCCTCGGCCCCTCGCGACCCGTCGCCCCCAAACCTAGGCCCAGGCCCCGCGGCCCCTCGACCCGTCGCCCCTAACCTAGGCCCAGGCCCCGCGGCCCCTCGACCCGTCGCCCCTAGCCTCGGCCCCTTGACCCGTCGCCCCCTGACCTAGGCCCAGGCCCCGCAGCCCGTCGCCCCGGCGCCCCTAGCCTCGGCCCCTGGGCCCCACGGCCCCTCGCGACCTGTCGCCCCCCTAACCTAGGCCCAGGCCCCGCGGCCACATCGCCCCGTCGCCCCTAGCATCGGCCCCTCGGCCCCGCGGCCCCTCACGACCCGTCGCCCCCCCCCCTAACCTATGCCCAGGCCCCGCGGCCCCTCGACCCGTCGCCCCCCTAACCTAGGCCCAGGCCCCGCGGCCCGTCGCCCCGTCGCCCCTAGCCTCGGCCCCTAGGCCTCACGGCCCCTCGCGACCCGTCGCCCCCCCTAACCTAGGCCCAGGCCCCGCGGCCCGTCGCCTCGTCGCCCCTAGCCTAGGCCCCGCGGCCCCCACGGCACCTCGGCCCCTTGGCCCCTCGGCCCCGAGGACCCTCGGCCCCTAGGCCCCCGGCACCTCGGCCCCAAGGCCCCTCGGCCCCTTGGCCCCTCGGCCCCTTAGTTCTCGGCCCCGCGGCCCGACGCTCCTAGGCCCCCGGCCCCTTGGCCCCTGCTACTGCTACTGCTGCTACTGCTACTGCTGCTACTACAGCTACTACTGCTGCTACTGCTGCCCCTGCGTGCTGCGCCACTATGGCTTCGCTTAGGGTTCTCGCGTTCGATCATGAGGGCATACCGGTTCAGTTTGACACGTGGCTTGACGACCTGCAGCTGTACCTACTGAGCGATTCTAAGGACATTGTTTCGCTGTTTGACCTTGCATCAGGCGCCGCTCCTGCCCCTCCCGCCACAGCTGACAGTGCGAATCGCTCATAGTGGCTTACTCGTGACGCTGCTGCCCGCTTGGCCATTCGCAACCACCTACCGTTAGCCGAATGCGCTCACTTCGGACAGCACAGGACAGCACAGGCACTGTACGACGCTGTCGTCACTCGCTATTCCTCGCCTGCCACTGCTGCTCTAGGCCGCCTGCTTCTGTCGCACCTGTTCCCTGAGCTGTTAGCCTTTGCCACGGTAGAGGACATTGTTTCCCACCTCCGCACTAGTGACGCTCGCTACCGCGCTACCGTCCCTGCTGAGTTCCTTGACAGGAACCAGCCCCCGATGTTCATCAGCCTCTACTTCATAGTCACTCGCCTCCCTAACCCTCTTTGCTCTGTCAGGGACCACTTTCTCTCACTTGACCCCACCTCCCTCACTGTTGACCTACTCGAGCAGCACCTCCTCGCAGCTGAGACTAGTGCAGTTGCTGTAGGTGCTGCTCATGGCACTCCGCGCCCCCCCTTCTTTGAGGGGTGCTCCCCCTCCCACCTTGCCCCCTCTTACGCCTCTGCCGCTGCTGCAGACGTCCCTGGTGCTGAGAACGTCGGAGCTGCTTCTGCTTGTGCGAAGCACCGCAGCGGCAAGGGCAAGGGTAGCAGGGGTGGTGGAGGGGGCAGCGGGAGTGGTGGTGGGGGCAGCAGTGGAGGTAGTGGAGGCAGTGGAGGTGGTGGCAGCGGTGGGAGTGGTGGCGGGAGTGGGGGCGCTGGTGGCGGCGGTGGAGGCAGCGGTGGGAGTGGCGGCAGTGGCGGCGGTGGGACTGGTGGCGGTAGGACTGGCGCTCGGCGTGGAGGTTCCGGAGGTGGCCAGCGGCAGCAGCAGCAGCGTCGGAGCGAGACCCAGTCGCCCCAGCAGCTTCGTGAGTGGTTGTTTCAGCGTGGAACGTCTGGGGGTAGTGATAGCTGCCCGTATGTCATTCGCACGGGTGACCGTGCTGGTCAGACATGCGGGAGGCTTCATACTCAGCACCGCTGCTTCTCCCGCCTCGACGACGCTTGGCGTGCTGAGTTTGGTGACGAGGTCGAGCTCCCGCGCTGGGCAGATCTACTTAGGTCTCGAGTTCCTATCTTTGACCTAGACTTTGATGTTATTCTTTCTGCTATGTATGCTTTGTCTGTTAGTGCTGAGGGTGACTGTTACCGGTGTGTGCTGCCTGACCCAGGTATAGCCGCTGCTGCTCTAGGTGCTAGTAAGTCTGTTCTCCCTGGTACTGTGCCTACTCAGGCCTTGCACACCTTCACGTTGGACTCAGGTGCTTCACACTGTTTCTTTCGTGACAGCACCACTCTCACTCCTCTCCCTGCACCTGTCCCGGTCCGACTGGCTGACCCCTCCGGGGGCCCGGTCGTTGCCCGTTCCTCCACTGTCCTCCCGTGTCCGGCGGTTGCGCCCGGCTCACTGACAGGTCTTCACCTCCCCTCGTTCTCTACGAACTTGGTGAGTACCGCTGCCCTTCAGGATGCAATGGTCACTACCACCACTCCTGGGGGTCAGCGTGTGTCGATCTGCACGTGTACACGGACGGGTCGTCACCTGGCCACGTGCACTCGTCGGCCAGGGTCGAGTCTGTACACACTCGCTACCGAGCCTCCTCAGATAGCTGCGTCTGCTCAGGTGTCCGCGTCAGGTCAGGTTCCACCCCCTTGCTCGTGTCGCCTACTGTCGCACGAGACCCTTCTGTGGCACCACCGCTTGGGTCACCCCTCCCTGCCACGCCTTCGTGGCATGCACTCCCGTCTCCTTGTCTCTGGTCTTCCCAGGTCTTTGCCTTCCCTCCCTCCCTCGCCTGCTCCGCCCTGCCTTCCTTGCGTCGAGGGGCGGCAGCGCGCCGCTCCTCGCTCCTCCTCGTTTCCCCCGACGACTGCTCCCCTGCAGACTCTCCACATGGACGTGTGGGGCCCAGCCCGCGTCACAGGATAGGGCCGCGAGCGCTACTTTCTGCTGGTCGTTGACGAATTAACGCGGTACACCACGGTCTTCCCCTTGCGCAGCAAGGGTCAGGTCGTTGATGTCTTGATCCCCTGGATCCGCACAGTCCGTCTCCAGCTCCGCGAGCGGTTCAGTACGGACCTTCCTGTCCTACGTCTGCACTCTGACAGAGGTGGTGAGTTCTCCTCCAACCTCTTGAGGGACTTTTGTCATGGGGAGGGCATTCTCCAGTTATTCACGCTTCCGGACTCCCCTCAGAAAAATGGGATTGCTGAGTGCCGCATTGGCTTAGTCATGGAGGTCGCTCATACCTCCATGATCCATGCGGCCGCTCCCCATTTTCTGTGGTCGTTTGCGGTCCAGTACGCTGCGCATCAGCTCAACTTGCCGGAGACCTTGCCCACACTGCGTTGGACGGGGAAGGTTGGCGATGCGTCGGTGTTCCGGGTCTGGGGTTCTCGTGCCTTTGTCCGCGATATGTCCGCGGACAAGCTCTCCGCCCGCGCCATTCCCTACGTCTTCCTTGGCTTTGTCCTTGACGTGCCTGGATGGCAGTTTTACCACCCTACCTCGCACCGTGTCCTCCCCTCTCAGGACGTCATGTTTGACGAGTCGGTTCCCTTTTACCGTCTCTTCCCCTACCGCTCTGCCCCTCTCCCTTCCCCGCCGCTCTTCCTTGCTCCAGGTCCCCCTCCGGTAGACCCCCTCCCTCCTCAGGGTCCTGCTCCCTCAGATGTCTCTCAGGTAGACCCACCCCCTGGTGCTGTGCCTGGTGAGGTAGCTGTAGACTCAGGTGCTGCTCGAGGTACTGCGTCTGGGGGTGCTGAGCCTGGGGGTGCTGAGACTAGGGGTGCTGAGCC